GGCTTTTTTTTTTTTTTTTTTTTTTTCCCCCCAAAGAATGTCACAGGATTTCAAAAGTATGCTTTGACAAACTTCGTTCTGCTTTCGCCCTTTTCTTCTTTTAGGCAATGCTGCTCACACATCAGGACTTTGCTTAATGTATCTATAACTGAAATTACAGCCAAACCTGGATGAATCTTTACTGCAATCACGTCCAAGAGCTTAGTAGGAAGAGGCCTAGTGTGAGAAGGCCTGGTGTGAATATGCCCTTAGTTTGTTTGTCTGTGTGTCCTCGTTGTGGTTCCGTCAAATTTTTTAAAAGCACACCAGCACTTTTCTCAATGGATCTGACTGCAATTATGGCCCGACCTGGATGCATGTGACTGCAATCACGTCCAGAGCTGAGACGCAAAAGTCTTCGTGTGAGTATGCTCTGCGGATGCTTCTTCTTCTTCCTTTTTTTTTTTTTTTTTTTTTTTTTTGGGAAAGCCCTTTCACAAGTCCACTATCCCGGAGGTGGTGAGAGAACGGTCGGGATCGAGGCCCTGGATATTGGGCTGCTCGGACTGCTCCATCTATTGGTGGGGAGCGATACCTGCTGGAAACCGGGTCCAGCGTCCCTTGGAAACAGCATTGCAGTACCATGTGCCGGGGCTATAGTCATTCATCTTCCTGACTCGGAGCTACTTTTTCCCTTGGGGCTGCGAATGACGCCCTTCTCTTAGTAGAAACCTCTCCTTAGTACCGACCTAGCCCTATTCCTGGAAATGACAAGCCCTTGACTGAGGATGCTTCATTCTGGAGCTGCAAAGAAAATAATTTTTCGGTCGAACAGGCCTTGGTGTGATTTGTCACTGCCTCTGCACACTCCTTTTGAGGTATCACTCATCTATTCTCGTATAACCTAGGAGCACATGGAAAGACTCTCTCTCTCTCTCTCTCTCTCTCTCTCTCTCTCTCTCTCTCTCTCCCCCCTGCTCCTCTGTGTCTCTGTCTGTCTGTCTGTCTGTCTGTCTGTCTGACCCCCCCTACTCTCTCTCTCTCTCTCTCTCTCTCTCTCTCTCTCTCTTCTTGCTCCTCCCTCTTCTTCTTCTTCTTCTTC